GAAAAAAAAAAATATCCAGGACCACCTTGCCGCCACACCGCCACCACCTCAGGATTTGAAAACCACAATCGGAAACAAAAACCAAAAATTCGGCACCACACTGCCACAGCCACCCGCAGCCCACTCCACGCGGTGTTGGATTTCTGGCGAAGAGCTCGAAGCTTCGCGGAGGAAGTCGCAAAGCAATCACAGGAGCTGGAGGCGTCAAAGCGGCGTCGAAGAAGTCGCTGGAGCTAGCCAATGAGGCGATGAAGCGTGCCGATCAGATCACAGCTCAGCTTCCGTCAGATCGGAAAGAAAGCCAAAGGATTGCAGCGTCTCCGTTCTCATGGCGTCGGCAGGCGCATCTCCTTCGTCGCTGGTTGCCGAAGATGAACGGGTCGCCGACGATGCCAAGGAGGGAGAACAGAGAGAGGTGGAGTTGTAGAGAGAAGGAGAGCAGCGAGAGAGAGGAGAGGTAGAGAGAGAACGGGGTTTGGGGGAAATGAGGTGGGTGGAGGGACGTAGGTAGGATTGATTTCTAAATTAATTGAATTTAATAATAATATATTAATTAAAACATCTGATTTTTGAAAGGTTAAACTTCCCACATGATTTTAGAATGTTGAATACTTAAAGTAGGAATTTGTGTAATTACCACTATTTTTAATTTATATTATTATATTGGAATGGAGCTTAACCCAATGGACCATTGATCCAACTTCAATCGACTTAAAGCCTTTCAAATCACCATTTTTAATGTAACTGAAATTCATCCAAATTGAAATGGTGTCAAACTTTAAAAAAGTTGTTCAGATTCAACCAAAAAGCTCCCAACCATTGAGCCCATAAAAAAAATTGTCTAATTTGAATTGGACTCAAGTCCAAACCATGAATGGGTTGGTTACTGCTTGAATTATTGTCAAACTGAATATGTTTTGGTTGGATTTGGGTTGGACTCAAAACCAACCCAACCCAACCCAATCTACGCCACGCGCAATCCTAACTTTAACCTTTTTATTTGTATATTCTCGAGAAAAGAAAAAAAACAAAGAAAGAAAGAAGTAAATAGTAAATTTTAACAATCTGAAATAGCAAACATAAAGTGCACATACATCAACTTCAAAGTCTATTATTATTCCGGTAAACCGTTTAACCCCTATTTGGTACAGATTATTTAAAATTCACTTTCAACTATATATTCTTTTAATGAAAT